GTGCCGCATAAAGGTTTGACCGAATTACCCCAATGTGTGACATCCCTAACCATCACTTCATACGAGTGCACTTAGGCCCCACGACCACGGTGTGTCGTGGTCCGCGAAGTATCACCGGATAGCGTGACGTCACTGGTATTCGAATAAATACTGGGCGCAACAGGCCGTGCTTCATTTTTACCTTTGTACTTGTCTACTGCAAGCATTGGCGTGCTGGATGAAAGCTGCCGAACCACCTGAGTGTGTGACATCACTGGCCATGAGTTCCAACGGTGCTTTTCGGCCAACTGAAGACCGCAAGGTGTCAGCTAGCGACGTCACTGCTATACGACTGTAAGACGTCAATGGCTGTGGGTTTCCACGGGACCTATAGGACCGACGAAATGCCGTTAGGTATCAGCTGGCGATATGACGTCACTGGTATTTGGCTGAACATCAGGCAACAGGTCATGCCCCATTTATACCTTTCGTACATGTCTGCTGCAAGTATTGGCGGATTTTTTGTGCGGCCAACTAAAGACCATAAAGCATCAGCTAACGATGTGACGTCGCTGGCACTCGACTGTGCGTGTCGCTGGTCATGAGGTTTTACGGCCTCTTTTGGGCCGACGAAAGGTCATACGGCAATGACTGAAGATGTGACGTCACTGGTATTCGAATGAACTTCGGGCGCGACAGACCATGTTCCACCTTTATCTTTGGTACCTGTCCATTGCAGGCATTGCCGTGGAAGGCTCTGCCAAATTACCTGAGTGTGTACGTCACTGACCATTAATTTGCACACTCTTTTGAGCCTACTATAGGCCACAAGGCATCAGCTGACGATATGATGTCACTGGGTTTCGACTAGACATCATGCGCAACAGGCCATGCTCCATCTAAGCCATGTTTCGTCTGTACCTTTCGCACCTATCTACTGCAAGTATTCGCGCGACACAGGGGCTCCGCCGAATTACCTGAGCGTGTGGTGTAACTAGTTATGAGTTAACGCGGGTTTACTCTGGCTGAATGAAGGACATCAAGCATCAGCTGACGATATGACGTCACTGGTATTCGACTAAACTCCAGGCGCGACAGGCCATGTTCCATCTTTACCTTTCGTACCTGTCTCTTGGAAGTATGGGCGTGCTGAATGAAGGCTCTGTCGGGTCTCCTGAGTAAGTAACGTCACTGGTCAAGAGCTTTTTACGGGACCTTTTGTACCCCCAAACGGTAAAATGCATCAGCTGATGATATGACGTCACTGGTGTCCGACTTAACATCAGGCGCGACAGGCCATGTTCTATCTTTACCTTTCGTACCCGTCTATTACAAGTATTGACGTGCTGAATGAAGGCTCTGTCGAGTCTCCTGGGTGTGTAACGTTACTGGTCATGAGTTTTTTCTGGCTCCTTGGAACCCTCTATAGGGAAAATGCATCAGTTGACGACATGATGTCAATGGTGTTCGACTTAACATGAGGCGTAACAGGTCATGTTCCATCTATGCCTTTCGTACCTGTTAAGTATTGGTGCGTTAAATGATGGCTCTGCCGAGTCACCTGAGTGTGCGACGTCACTGGTCATGAATTTTTACCGACTATTTTTGGCTGAGCGAAAGCCATAAGGCATCAGCTAACGAAATGACGTCACTGGTAATCCACTGAGTGTGTGACGTCACTGGTCATGGGCTTTTACGGGCCTTTTTTGGCCGAGTTCAGGTCATTAGGCATCAGATAACGTTATGGCGTCACTTGTATTCGAATTAACATCAGCTGCAATAAGCCATGTTTCATCTTTACCTTTTGCACCTGCCTACTGCAAGTATTCGTGCGCTACAAAAAGGCTCTGTCGATTCGCCGGAGCGTGTGGTGTAACTGGCCATGAGTTTGTGCAGGTTTACTCGGGCTGACTGACGGACATCAAGCATCAGCTGACGATATGACGTCACTGGTAATCGACTAAACTCCAGACGAATGATCTGAGTGGGTGACGTCGCTGGTCATGAGTTCATACGGATTCACTTGGGCCGCCCAAGGCCACAAAGCAACACCTGCCGTGAAGCATCACAGGATGATATGTCGTCACTGTTATTCGACTTAACATCAGGTCCAACATGCCACGTACTTTCTTTACCTTTTGTGCTTGTTTATTAAAGGTATTGACGTGCTGAATGAAGGCTCCGTCGAATCTCCTGAGTGTGTGACGTCACTGGTCACGAGTTTTTTACGGGCTCCTTTGAACCCATTTTAGGTTATAATGCATCAGCTGACGACATGACGTTACTGGTGCTCGACTAAACATCAGGGGCAACAGGTCATGCTCCATATTTGCCTTTCGTACCTGGCTGCTGCAAATATTCGCGTGCTATATGAAGGCTCCGCCGAATCACCTGAGTATGTGACGTCACTGATCATCAGTTGGTAGGAGGTCACTTGGCCACCTACGGCTACGGAGTTCCGCAGCAGAGGTGGGAGATGCACCATAGTTAAGCACACTAATTTTATTGTGCGCACCATTAAGTAACAACTTCAAACGCAACGGGCTGTTTCAACGACTAAAACTTTGAACAAACGTAAACACAAAACAAAGGTGATCCCAGCCCACAAACCGACGTATATGCAAAGCTATTCCGCCCGACATCACAGGATGCGCCCCTGAGCAGCTACGGTCCGGAATGTCCTGATGGCTAAATAATAATCAAGGGCGCCGCCTAGCGGCCATAAGTCTGGGCCACAGCCCGAATATCAGTGACGTCATATGGTCAGGTGATGCTTGATGTCCTTCAGTCAGCCCGAGTAAGCCCGCGTAAACTCATGACCAGCTACACCACATGCTCAGGTGATTCGGCAGAGCCTTTATGTAGCGCGCGAATACTTGCAGTATAGAGGTGCGAAAGGCAAAGATGGAACATGGCCTGTTGCGCCTGAGATTAAGTCAAATACCAGTGATGTCATATCGTCAACTGATGTCTTGAACCCTATAGGTACAAAAAAGCAGCCCGTAAAGAACTCATGACCAGTGACACTACACACTCAGGGGATTTCACAGAGCTTTCCTTAAGCATGTCAGTGCTTACAATAGACAGGTACGAAAGGTAAAGACGAACATGGCCTGTCGCGCCTGGTGTTAAGTTGAATACCAGTGACGTCACATCGCCAGATGATGCTTGATGTCCTTCAGTCAGCCCGAGTAAACCCGCGTAAACTCATAGCCAGTCACACCACACGCTCAGGTGATTGGGCAGAGCCTTTATGTGGCGCGCGAATACTTGCAGTAGATAGGTGCGGAAGGTAAAGATGAAACTTGACATATTGTATCTGATGCTTAATTGAATACCAATGACGTCATATCGTTACCTGATGCCTAATGGCCTTAAGTCGGCCCAAAAAGGCCCGAGAAAACTCATGACCAATGGCGTCACACACCTAGTGGATTACCAGTGACGACATATCGTTAGATGATGCCTTATGGCTTTCACTCGGCCAGCAATAGCCTGTAAAAACTCATGACGACGCACTCAGGTGATTCGGCGGAGCTAATATTAGGCTCGCCAATACTTTAACAGGTGCAAAAGGCAAAGATGGAACATGACATGTTGTGCCTGATGTTAAGTCGAACACCAGTGACATCATATCGTCAGCTGAAGCATTATACCATATAGGGGGTTGAAAAGAGCCCGTAAGAACTCTTAACCAATGACGTGATATAACACGCGAATGCTTGCAGTAGGCAGGTACGAAAGGTAAAGATGGAACATGGCCTGTTGCGCTTGATGTTGAGTCGAATACCAGTGACGTCATATCATCCCGCGATACTTCACAGGATATGATGCTTTGTTGCATTGAGCTGCCCAAGTGAACCTGTATAAACTCATGACCAGTGACGTCACGCACTCAGATGGTTCGGCATCACCTTGATATAGCACGCAAATGCTTGCAGTAAACAGGTACGAAAGGCAAAGATAGAGCATGGCCTGTTGCGCATGACATCTAGACGAAAACCGGTGACGTCATATGGTCAGCTGATGTGGTGTGGCTTACGGTGGGTTCAAAGCAGTCTGTGTAAATTAATGGTTAGTGACGTTACACACTCAGGTGATTCGGCAGAGCCTTCCTTCAGCATTCAAATGCTTGCAATGGACAGGTACCAAAGGTAAAGATGAAGCATGGCCTGTCCCGCCTGAATTTTATTCGGATACCAGTGACGTCACATCTTCAGTTAATGTCGTATGACCTTTCGTCGGCCCAAAAGAGGCCTTAAATCTGATCACAAGTGACATCACACACAGTCGAATACCAGTGACGTCACATCATTAGGTTATGCTCTACGGCCCTCAGTTGGCCCCCAAAGATCCATAAAAATGCATGACCAGTGACGTCACACACTCACGTGATTTGGTAGCTTTTATTCATCACGCCTGTACTTGCAATAGACAGGTACGAAGGTAAAAATGAAGCATGACCTGTTGCGACCAATATTTAGTCGAATATCAGTGACGTCACGATACCCGGTGATATTTCACGGAACATGATACACCGCGGCCGTGGGGCCTAAGTGCACTCGTATCAAGTGATGAGTAGTGACGTCACACATTCAGGTGATTCGGTCAAGCTTTTATTCGGCACGCAAATGCGTGCAGCAGACAGGTACGAAAGGTAAAGATGGAGTAAGGCCTGTTGCGCCTGATGTTTCATTGAATACCAGCGACGACATATCGTCAGGTGATGCTTTACGGCATTCATTGCACCCAAAAGATCCCTAAAGCCTCACAACCAGTGACGTCACATATCCAGTCGAATACCAGTGACATCATATCGCTAGCAAATGCCTTGTAGCCTTCAGTCGGCCCAAAAGAACCCCGATCGATGCAAACCCATTTTCAGTGACGTCACTACGTCGGCTGATACCTAACAGCATTTCTCCATCACGGCAGTACAGGAACCCTGCGGCCAGCGTAGCTCTCTCCCCACCGTCGGCAATACAGGTACCCAAGTAAAAAAAAGCCGGAGAGTGTCAGATTTTCAGAAGCTGTATTCTCTTCTAACTTTCACACTGTTTAAACATTGCAACTATCCGAGGTGTTGGAAATGTATGAAACTATTTCATATAAATTTGTTGAGTGTGATGCCAATGTTGAAAATTTGTCCTTTTTCTCAGAGAGTATGGCGACCATATCATGCCGCATCAGCCAAGCCAGAGTCACGCTGCTCAGAGCTGGCAGCAGCATCAGGTCCTGCAGGTTTTCAAGCAGTCTAACCTCAGTACATGATGCTGAAGGTGTTCGTAACATCACCATGACTGCACCCAAGACAAGGAATGCTCTTTCTCTTGGCATGCTTCATGAATTGCAGGTACACTATAGCACACTGTGTTTTAAAATTTGTTTGTAAATATGAAGAGTTGGAATAGTTGCCACAAACTGGAACAAGCGCTGTTTTGAAATTTTGTGTGGGATGACCAAATGCTGCTGTTTGCCATCCAAACAGACACCAAATCATCAAATATTTCAATGCAATCTCAATGTCACAGCAAAGCTTTAACTGTACTATCCACAATGTCTGGGACTTGTGACCTGCACAAGTGAATCACTAATTTCTGTTTATCCCTATGCTTAGTTCCTCAGGTCCAGACTGACATCTTGTCTCTTTGCTCAGGAGCACATGATTAGACTGCCTGCTGAGATACGCTGTGTGGTACTGAGTGGCCAGGGCCCAGCCTTCTCTTCTGGTCACAACCTGAAGGAATTGACAAGTGCACGGGGCCGACAACACCACCAGCTGGTGTTTGAGACCTGCTCCCGGCTCATGCTTGACATGCAGGGTCTTGATGTGCCCATCATAGCACAGGTACTGGTTTTGGTGGACACTGATGTCTGACCTTGCTGTGGGGCTGGCCATGCTGTCAAGATCATTAGACTGAAACAGTATTTGTATCTACAAATCTTAACTGCCAGACTAGAGCTGGTGTTTACCTATGAGGGTTGCCTCTGTATTCTGGTGCTTTTCTTCTGTGAATCATGATGACTCATTGAAATAGGCAAGTAAATTATTTTTTAGGTCAATGTTCAAGAAAATCAGCAGATGTGTTCTGTTTATTTGTTGCTAAAAAGTGAGCAATGCACATTTATTTAATAATTGAACAGCAAGTTGAGCTACTGGTTATGCTATGGGACTGTAATGCTTCCTTGCCCCATCACAAAGATGGGGCATTTAAACTGAGACATTTAAACTGATACATTTAAGAACCATAAAGCTTTAATAGGGCAATGATGTGTGTACAGTATTTTGCTTGTTTTGAGCTGTTTTGGGGAAAATGATCATTTAATGTTTCAGGACAAATGAAACTGATTGAGCTGTTTAGCAGGCCTAGTTTCACTAACATGGGCAAGACATAAGTGTTTCACCAACCATTCAAGGCTGAGGCTGACACTTGTGTCTTTCCAAAATGTTTTGCTTGGTTAAATGTTTTGTGGAGACCATATCTGCTCTGTATTGGGAACTCAAACAATGCACAAGCCCAGTGGTTGGGACTACCATGATGCATTGATGTCCCACCACTTCAGCCCTATGGGCTTGCATAGTTGCAGCCTGTGTCAGTGTGGTGCCAGAGTGACTGCACATGCTGGTCCCAGGAGCCCACCCCAACCCTGCAGTGACCGTCACCGGACGCCGTCAGGTGGACGGCGTGGCGGCGGCGGCCGGCTGCCAGCTGGCCGCCTCGTGCGACATCGTGCTGGCCACGCCGCGCTCCAGCTTCTCGACGCCGGGCGGCAGCATCGGCCTCTTCTGCTCCACGCCGGGCATCGCCGTGTCGCGCGCCGTGCCGCGCCGCGTGGCCGCTCACCTGCTGCTGACCGGGCTGCCGATGAGCGGCGAGGAGGCGCTGCGCGCCGGCCTGGTCAGCCGGCTGGTGGAGCCCGAGCAGCTGCAGCGCGAGACGGCGCACACGGCCGCCGCCATCGTGCGCAAGAGTCGCGCCGTCATCGCGCTCGGCAAGCGGTTCTTCTACCAGCAGCTGGAGCTGCCGATTGAGGAGGCCTACCGACTGGGCAGCAAGGTCATGGTGGACAACATCGCGCTCTGCGACGGCCAGGAGGGAATCCGCAGCTTCATCGACAAGCGGGAGCCGACGTGGACCCACTCGGACGAGAAGGCGCACGACTGAGCGGGCTTTAGGGGGTGGGGTGGGGTGGGGGGGGGGGGGGTATCGGGAACCAGGTTCGAGGTATGATTGAACAGGCTGTGTATGAAATATTGTCGCGGATAAGGGGAATCCGGCAATAGTTGGTTGCTGTATCTTAATGCCAACTTTATTTGCATGTTGAAGAGGTTACTGATTCTAGAGTAGTGCCAATTATGAGATGGTTTGTATATCTAAAGGTTTTTATACCATGGTTTATCTATGTAAGTTAAGGGAATAGCTTGGGATGTGTTTGCCTGGCTCGTAGAAAGTAGTGGAGTTCTCCACAGTGGTCTGATGCTGGATTCCATCTCTTTTACTGTTGTCATGTGTCCCATAAGAAAGCCTTTATTCAGGTATCTTAAGACGGTCCCTTAAATACGCAACATAGCATTTTTGGACGTGGTCGGTCGGCGAAAGCCACCAAAGAAATATTATTCAGCTGATCTGCCGGTCGAATCTTACCACAGACCTTATGCGTACCATGTTGCAGATATTGCCGTTTCAGTTGATGTAACAATATAATGGTCAGAACACAAGGCATCACGGTTGGTTGGAGTCTCGAGCCCCTGTTGTGCACACCAGCAGCTGGGCAGGAGGTAATAACTCACTGGCTTTCGTTAGCCCGAAGCACCCACGACTGCTAGCACCCTGCCGCGCCGGCCCCAGTCGCACGATAAGCACCAACACCAGCGTCCGAAGTCATAGAAAGTACTAGTAAAGAGGTCGTGCTGAAAGTCACTGGTCAGGGAGGATCTACCCCTTTGGACGTCTTGGGAGGGACGACTCTTACTTGCTGAACGCAAGTCAGTTGTTTTCATTTCTTTCAGGCGTTAAGTTTCCGGTATTTTTTCTCCCCTCTAGTTGAAAAACGTTGCGCTTGCTTATCTTAATCATGCGCGCAAAATGACCTCCGATGTCAGCGCGCCCCTAAACTCAAATATCTCTGTCATGACTATGCAACGTCGCGATATAAAACCCGTCGCACATGAAAAAATAGAAAGAACCTAAAAGAAAAAGAAGACTATCTTTGCCACTATAGAGAAGATTGGACGCCAATGGTCCAGGTTGACTGAGGCGGCGCCGCTACCGTCAACGACCGCCTACATTGGCCGATCTGCGTATGCCTCTGACGTGGTGGGCTACGACAATTTCACCAAGGCTTTATGGTTATGTTTCTGTCTCGCCGTCACCGATCGCAACTGCGCCTTTGGGTACGCATCGTGGCAGTGTGGCATCAGAGTTCACCGCCCTCCCCGGAGTCCTCGGCCTGGAGTCCAGCTTTGGCCTACATCGATGCGCTCCGAATGTCCGTGGTATCTGTTGACGGAACAGGTAACCTAAAACGGCCTTGTCATGGAGTGATCGTCCTCATATATGAGCCGTCCGCAGGGGCGTAATTTTGTAGTCATTTTGGGGAGGGGGCGAAGAATTATGAAACTTACTCCCAGAATTCGCCGACAAACGGGTTTCTGCCCGGATTTGGCCCACTTCTCCCACAAACTTGGCGGGGGGGGGGGGGGGGGGGGGACTGAAGCTGCCCGAACGCATAGGAAACTGCATCCCTGGTTCATTGAAAATGTCACCCATTGTCCGCGATTTTCAACCAACTTCCTCTGGTCACGATGCGAGAACCCGAGAGTGGGGAATTTGAGCCCTCGATCGGATACGTTTAAACAACGATCCGGCGCTTTGCAATGTTGAGCACTTAGTCTCGGTAAACTGTGACATCGTCACGTGCATTATTTCCAGAATGATTGACAACACAATTGTCCCTGGAGTAAAATCGTTGACGGCAATAAGCGATTAACTTGGCATTTTGGTGTGATGTGTAAAGTACTTGATATGTTACCGAATGCTGCTCATTAAATACATTCAGCTGGGCGGTTCATAAAATGCGCTGGGCTATAACTGCTCCCCCAGATCGTTCAAACGTGGCGCTAATGCGGTGCTTTATCGGAAGCGCATGGATTATTATATTTCGGATATAGTAAGCGAGCACCACTCTCATTGATTTCTGAAGAAGTCCCCCATATATTCTTGGTGCTTTGTGTAGCTTGTAAGCCAGGTAGATAGCGAGTTGAATGTGGGCAAGGTTGTAGGTAATCAGTTTAGATTTCAAACTAGGGCTCAGTTTAGGTTTGTTTCTAAGGCAAAGCAAGCACCATGTACACTCCTCAAGTTTCATCAGTGTCCTGGGACTCATTTTCTGCCAGAGCATCCCCAAGAGCATCTGGGAAAAAGTCCAAGTCTGCCATCAAAACTCCAGGATTACTTCGCTCATCGTTCACTGCCAGGTATTTATGACACTTATTTGATTCATTCAGTAATGTGTAGATGCATTCCGCCAGCTCCGGACAATTGGACAGACAGAGGTAAATGTATTCTGTGCATCAGTGTTAGCATGTCATTTCCATCACTATTGAAATATGTGGAAAGGGAACTGATGTTGGTCCTCACTTATGATTAAGTTAATGATAACTCAAGACTAGGGTAACTAACCCTGCTGCCCATGTGGATTTTATCATATAATAGTTTGGTTGGAGTATTGCTAAATAGGATCAGATTTTGAACTTATTGTAAGGATATGACCAAACCAATCTATACTAGAGATTCCCAGCTGGGATACTACATGTTAGTTAGGAATCAGATTGTGTTTTTGATCAGCATTATGTGGACTGTATCTGCCACTTATTGCATTCAAAGACTGGCTTGTAACACATCACATCAGTAGAACATATTGTAGGTGGGTTTAGCTTTGCCAAAAGCAGGGTGCAGGGATACTGTATGTAAGCTTTGTTTCTGGCTCATTATGTATGAATGTTTTTATGACATGTGGATGTTATGGTGCCAGTGATGAAGCATGTTCAACTGTGACTTGAGGATATGTCTTAGTTGTAACCCACTCGCCTAACTGCAGATTCCTGCAGTCACTACTTGTTTCCAATAACTGTTTGTTTTCAGCCCTGGCCTTCATGCATCCAGGATAGTGGAAGAAACTCCAGAATATATTTTAGAGTCATTGGGACCACCTCTTCCAGTCTTGGTTACTGAAGTTCTTGCTTCATCTGATAGTAAGTATACTATTTTAAGAAAAGGGATATAATTTAAAATTCATTTTTGTATTTTGTTACTGCTCATACTTGGTCCAAATACATTTAAAACACATCTGACATTACCATATTTTCATGTAATTCTGGGTGCAATATCCTGTTTTAGCTGACATATGTAACAAAGTTTAAGTTAAGGATTGTGTGTTGCATTGGTTTATATGACCTTAGTACTCATTTTGGTAATTGCTATGTACCTTGCATGAAAAACTAAGCTTTCCAGCTACTGGTATAGTATGCATGCACAGGAAGGCTACCCATAACAGTGTAAGGTCTAAAGTATTTGTGTTTGATTGACATTTATATGTATATGTATAATGTTTATATAGCAGATCTATAATGTGACTATGTGATATGGTTGCTATGCTGGGATAGTCTGCCAACTGCATTGAGCAAACAGAAATCACATCATCATAACATGGCAAGGAAACTGCTGTCTGAGGCAGTATCATGACATTTGTTGCACAATGCAAGTTCTACACCATCATAGGGTTCATGGGCTATGGCCAGTGCATCCAACAGCATGGACCTTTGGGTGGCAGAGTCAATGTCCAGGAATAAATCCATTTTCAGGAAGGGGCAGAATCCTGATTGGGCAATGTCTTGATATCCCATGTCTGGTGTCGCTGACGCGCGCCCGCCGCGTCTGGTCCGGCAGGAGGGGGCGAGGTGAGCGCCCAGGTGTCGGAGCGCGGCTGGTGCTGGCTAGTATGCGGCCGCCGGCTGCTGGTGTGGCGGCTCAGCGGCGCCGACGGGCCGCGGCGCGTGGCGTTCTGCCGCGAGCTCACGCTGCCGCCCAGCGACCTGGCGCACAGGGCCGAGCTGGTCCAGGTGAGAGCTGGCGCCGGCGTCCTGGCTGGGAGCTGGACTATGTCCGGGAAGATTATCATCACCAGTGAACTGAAGGCCGTGTCACGACCCTCAGGTCACCGTCCTCCATGCAGTAGCTGAGGGTGGTCTAGTGATCACGGAGCTGCTTGCAGGGTATGATCGTCGCATGTCCTCATCCGTGAGCTCTCGTGTCACGTGGCATTCTGTTTGGTTTTCGGCACGCGTCTGTACATCGCCACCCTTGCTGCATTGCACTCGTTGCACTCTTCACCTGTTAAAGATCATGGTGCAGCTGCTCTGGATTGTTCTGTGGCACTTGCAGCTGCTGTTTGTTCGCAGGTGCTGGGCGGCTCGGAGACCCACGTGCCGTGCTGCCTGGCCGTCTCGCCTGAGGGCACGCTCCGATTCTGGCCCAGCGTCATCTACGAGAGCTCCAGCATCGAGAGCAGTGCCGACCTACAGGTGAGTGGAGCACGCGTGCGCCGTCACGCGTGGAGGGCGGGACGTCACAGAGGTGGCGCGGCCGGCGCATGTGCTCAGATGAGACGTGTAGTTCGTGGTTGGTTGCGCAATTCGGAAATGGAATCTAGGTCTTGGAAACGTCTGCCGCATTTTAAAGTGATGGGCTTTGGAAGGGGCATGGTGCGTGTGGTGGGGTGTTTTGTTGAATGTACCGTGCTTGTTTTTTTGCTCACTTGCGGTCGTCGGAAAATCCGCATGCGTGGTTCGATTAAAAGATTGTGAGGTTTGATGGCTGGGTAACGCTGGCCTGACTCTGGCGAGACCGAACGCCCCTCCAAGTCCCACGCCGCAGAGTAAGCCACTATCGTCACACGTCATGGGCGGCGTGGTTACCGCCTGTCACGTCCTATGTATCGCGCGTCCGCCACGTGCATCACCCGTCTGTCGCGTAGTCTGTCAGGCGTCATCGCCTGCCACCTGTCTGTCACCCGTCTGCCTGCCTGTGTCTGTCTGTCTGTCTGCCTGTCACCCCGCCTGCCACCCGTCCGTCATCCGTCTGTCATCCGTCTGTCACCTGTGCCTCCGCCACCCCCGCCAGGGCCAGGAGTGCGAGCGGCTGGTGTCGCTGGGCGAGGCCGGCTGCCTGCTGGCCACCACCACCTCCACGCTGGTGCTGGTAACGTGGGAAGGTGGACTGGCCTGCCGCCGCCTGGCGCCGCCGGCCGGCCTGCTCGGCGGCATTGGACGCCGCGTCTCGTCGCTCATCTGGGGCGCCATGCAGGCGGCAGGCTCGGAGGAGGTGAGCGCGCGCCCGCCACGCCCGTCCCAGCGTCGGGGCGCGGCCGACGCGCAGCGCCGACTGATACACACCGCCGCCGGGGGCTGTGCTGGTTTCTGTGTGTTTTTAGGGCGTTGTCATGCTATGGATCGTGCTTGTAATTTCCTGAAGTGTCACTGTCGGTTTAGCGTGCTGCGTAAAGCCGGGCCTTGTGCGCTAAGGTTGTTCGATTCGAGGTAGATAAAGCTTGATCGTTTTGGCGCCAAACGAACGCAGACGTCGGCACTCCCCAAAACCTCGACTATCATCATCAAGCCTTGCCATTTATCGCCACCTTGGCGATGTGGTGTAGGGAGGGCTCCGTGGGCTGACACAGCGCCCTGGCGTGACCTCCCATGCCAGCCGTGGCACGGACCAGGTCGGAAACTGTCTGAAACAGCACCCAATCCCCGCGGTACGGCCGCATCAGTCGTCGGCGCCGGTGAGAGCCGGCTGGCTGTGCTGCTGCTGTATGTGACCGGGCCGGTGAGGGCCGGCTGGCTGTGCTACACTGTGTGTGACCAGGTCGATGTGGGCCGCCAGCCGCTGGTGTCACTGTGTGCCGCGCCGCCTGAGGAGGGCGCCGACGCGCCGGCCGGTCGCACGGTGTTCGTGTTGACGGCGCGGCACCTGCAGCGTTGGTGGGTGGATGCCGCCAGCGATGCCGACCGCATGGATGCGCAGACCGACCTCGTCCGCTTGGCGCGCGACCGCCTCCTGCAGGCCGACTTGGTCAGTAGCCGGCACGCGGCGGGGCGAGGTCGGGACCCGCCGCCGCACCGTGCTAACGGGCTGGCCGGGCGGCCGCAAAACAGGTCATGGCTACTGACAGTTTCCTTAAGAAATAGTGCGTTGTGCCAGTCACCTGGCACGATTTATTAACAGACATGCCAATGCCTGTGTTGTCCTGTGGACAACTGGACATTGACCACGTACCGTTCCCAAACCAACGTACGTAAAACCTATGTTAAGAGGGCTGGAATCATGGAATTCTTGCTGTAGTTATATATGTGTGGAGTGGCAGCCAGTTCGCGTTCGTGATATATTTGTAATTGTCAGCCCATCTTTTCGCTTCGTCGCTTTTAGGACACGGCATTTTCGAATATTTGTTCTCACGTTTGCCGCGTGGAAACTGTACCCGCTAAATCACGGCTTTACCGCTTAATACCATGGGGTCAGAGCGCTGTATGCCGAACACAAGTTGCATCAGTGGCAATACTCTCGTTTCTCTGCCTGTGTGGGTTTTAAAATGTGTCTGTGACACATGCCACTAACTGATTAAGTAACTGAAAGGCGCGCGGGCGCTAGTCGTTCTGTTGTTCACGTCAAGTATGTGTTTCTGGCGAGGTTGCTCTCTGCTTATGCAGCTTGTGCTTGGCCAAGCGTTTGTCACACCACTCGCCGGGACCAGCCGCTGTGCGCTGCGCACTGAGCTCGTGCTCAGACGTGACGGTGTCACGCTCGGTTACAGAGTCGTGAGACCAGCAGTGCCGACCAGCTGAAGGTGACGCTCCGTGACCTCTGTGTCACGCGCCACGGCGTCCTGGTGCTCATCACGGCCCAAGACCCGCCGCCGTCCGGTGCCACGCTCCTCGCTCTGGGTGAGGCCATACTCTGCTCTGGGCGAGGTCACGCTTCTTGCTCTGGGTGAGGTCATGCTCCTCGCTCTGGGTGAGGTCATGCTCCTCGCGTGATGTCACGCTCCTCGCTCTGAGGTCACGCTCCTTGCGTGATGTCACGCTCCTCGCTCTGGGGTCACGCTCCTCACTTTGGGCGAGGTCACGCTCCTCACTTTGGGCGAGGTCACGCTCCTCGCCCTGTGTGAGGTCGCGCTCCCCGCGCTGTGTGAGGTCACGATTCTCGCTCTGTGTGAGGTCACGCTCCTCGCTCTGAGGTCACGCTCCTTGCGTGATGTCACGCTCCTCGCTCTGGGGTCACGCTCCTCACTTTGGGCGAGGTCACGCTCCTCGCCCTGTGTGAGGTCGCGCTCCTCGCTCTGTGTGAGGTCACGATTCTCGCTCTGTGTGAGGTCACGCTCCTTGCTCTGGGCGAGGTCAAGATCCTCGCTCTGTGTGAGGTCACGATCCTCGCTCTGTGAGGTCACGATCCTTGCTCTGTGCGAGGTCACGCGCCGCCGCGCGGGCTCCTACCCGGCAGCCAAGCGGCGTCGCACCGCAGAACAATCCAGGCTCATACCGATACTCAGCAGGAGATGGACAAGTATCCAGAAAACAGGCGGACGATGCTCCGTGACTGGGTCAACCACGAACCTAAACGCAAGGGTGACAAGGCTTAAGAGCATCGTGTGCGAAAAGGGCGCAGCGCACTGAGATCACTGCTGCCGTACCAACTCTACCACGAAGCATTTCATTGTAGACGGCCTGGATTTGTCTTGGACAAATCTCTTCGGGAGTAAATAGGGAGCGAGGTCATTTTAAAATGCCATCTCAATAGTTGATCCCGAGGAGATATTCGTCCGGTGCGCCTAGCTCATCAAAACATGGCAAAAATCGCAAATAGGAGATATTCATGTTTTCTTACAAAACAACAGATTGTGCACACAATGCCAGTAATAGCACTTGGCAGAAGCGAATTCAGAGGCTAGCGTTAGACAAATTGTGGCGACCACGTCGCTCGAACCAGCTGCAATACCAATGTTTGGTACGCCTGGGTACTGTTTTTTTCGTCAACAAATGCATGCTGTTGGGTCAGAAATATAGATATATGACGAGCTGAGATATGCCGTTGACACAGTGCGATTTTGAAGTGAATAATGGTGGACAAACATTCCTCAACAATATGTGAACTCGGAATCATTGCTTCTGATCACGTGGCGATCCCACGGCCTGTATCTACGAGCTACACAGATCAGATAGAAAAAAAACACATTGGCCGCTTTTCAACATATGGCATGCCAACACTCACAGAATAAGCATAGCGACTTACGCATTCACTCGCGCCACCGGCCGCTCCCACAGCAGCAGCAGTAGCGTGTGTCCGTGCTGCGGCACTCCAGCAGCACGTATCAGACGTTTCAGTTCAGTGTCTCTCCCTTCGTCACACGCGCCTCGAGGTACTCGATCTTCCGCTCCAGCTTGGTGAGCTTTTCGTTGAGCACGGCTAGCCGAGACTTGCAGGACAGGTCGAATGAGTTGAGGAACTCCGCGATCTTCTTGATGCTGTTGGTGATGACCTCAATGTACTCGCGGTTGGCCCAGTCCTGCTGGATCTGCATCTGTATCGCCTCGCGGTGGTTTGTGGCCATCCTCTGAAGGTCAGGGCAATATGACGGGGCATTGTCAATGCTCGCTGCGTTGGTTCACAAAATACGATCCCCACACACGTTATATCTGAAAGTCGCACTCACGAATGCCAGAACATGTTTGCCTCAAAATTATCTTGTTCATGCATGGGTAAATCCCAGGCAAAGCCTTTTTATGCCAAGTTGGTTGTCTAGTGAAGCCTGGCTAGCTGAAACTATACTTATAGATGACTACTGCCATGCCACAGATTTACCACACCAGCCCTGATCTAACATGTGCCCTGGTGGCTGGTTGAATACCCTTTGCTTGGGTGGGGGTCAATTCTCCCCCTCCCCCCCCCCCATAATGTCTCAGAAACAAGAGAGCCAGAAGCACCAAATTCACTGGGTGTGTTGGCCAGAATGTGAACTCACTTATTTCAAAGTTTGGAGTTCATAGGGTGTGTTCTTCAGGTCAAATGAAGTCAAGTAAGTTCACACTCCAGGTTGGTGTCCAAAGTGTCCCCAGAATTCAGATACCTGTTCTAAGAAAAGGCCACTGGTGCTCACTTAAGGTCAATGACCTTTTTGACCTTTGCAGGTCATGGTGACTAAAACCATACAAGACTGTTTTGAGTTTGGTGTGGCCATGTCACACTATTCAGAAATTATTCTTGAAAACCCCTTGGGGGGGGTCAAATTTATCCCCCACCTCTTTTGAGTACATGTTCATGGAATGCATCATTATTCCCACTCAGAGTGGAGATATGAAGGCTGCTTGGGATGATGATTTTTCAGTATTTCTGATCACAGTCAAACTCAACTCATGCCATGCTGTATGTTAACATGTGGGGGTCACTTTGACCCCCCCTGCCTGAGCATGTGTTAGTAGAACACTACTACATCACACCACTCAATTGCATGTCATGTGTCACAAAAGCTGGTTTGTTGTTATTGTTCAAACCTGTAAAAACACCAAGATACCATTGGTTGGACAGAGTCAGTATCCAAACAGTACCAGGTGCAATTTTTCTGCAAATTGTACTTCAATGAGTCTGGTTATTCCTACTGGGAGTGGTATATATTTATTAAACCTGATTCCACTGGCACTAGTAATCTGTTGCTGTTTATTTGGGGCCACCACTATAAATCATCAGTCAAATTCACGGCAGTCATGTTTGATGTATGTACCAGCCTCTGGCGCCATTTTGCGCTATTGGAAATTGTGCTTCCTCAGCACCAGTGGTCACAGCTAGGTTGATGAAGTTTTGAAGACAGGCATGTGGATATAGGTGATTGTGATATGAAGTATAGCTTGGCAGTGAGATGCAAATCTATGGAGGATGCTAATGTATGAATACACAATATATGGCTCAAGGCTGGTTTTCTGGTTTTATATCTGTGGTTAGTGTTTCAGGTGATATATGTTAATAACTTGTGTTGAAGCCCAGTGTAGTATCCCATGCTATAAAGTAAGCCTTAGTTAAGGCATGAACATTTATCTCTTTGTTTATTTGCATGCTGATTATCCCAATTTACTTGGTTTTTGTGTGACCAAATGTTAAATGCTCACTTTCATCTTGTGAGCAGCAATAAGTTTAATGGCATATATTCTCTTGATGGCAAGCTCAGTTTTATATTTACAGTCATAATCATCATGTCACATATCCAGAATTCTGATTTTTTCCAGCTTAAGGTGTTTAATCAGATGCATTCTCCATTGAAAACTTACCTTATCTTGAGACTAGCTCCCGGACTGACAGGAACCCCTCACCCCTCAGATGCCTGTTTTGACTTATATTGTGTGCAATGCAGTCCCGTGGGGTTTCTTGCCAACTTCCGTATACCCCCACCTGATTTAACTGGTGACTCGGGCGTCTAACCGCACAGTGGGGTGACAGTTGATGATTTCGCCCGCCCTTGTGTTCTTAATTCCAATAATGGCGCGGTGTAGACGAGATCTTCAAGAACTGGAGCTAAAAGACTGCAAGGAATTTGCTTTTGCTTAGTTTCGTACGATTGTTTATAATCATTCGTGCAATTGATGACTTTTCCTTTTTAACTCAATTGATCTTCTGGTTTTGTTCCCAGAAACCAAATTTCATATACAGGCTGCGGGGTTATATCAAACGGTTTGTCCCTTCATTTTTGCACACGGTGGTGAAGTAAGGTGGTCCGCCAACAGTTTTCCAATTGTATTTTGGCTCAAAGGAATGATGGTGCTTATTTTAGAAAGCAGCTTACCTACTCATACATCCTAAACAGCCGAAATTCTACCACTGTCTCATTTGTTGTAGGCTGTAGCACCATGAAATAAAACAGTTTTTTAAAAGTTTCGGTAAGTGGTGCTTTTCGAGAAAGTCCCGACTCCTTCAATCCCTTTGTGCAATCCAGGCAGCGAAGCAAGTTGGTGGCCAAAGTTAGGCGTGCCGCAATGCTTGACACGGCCGTCCTGCCCTTTGACGTGATCCGACCTTTCTGGCAGCCGCTCCCACCGGCCGCATGCCATGCCTATTACGGGCAAATAGCGAGCAAATGAAACGACTTGTACCTACCCCGCCACGGTTATGTTGATCGGAAGGCGGGCACTCTTACCCATTAACCTATCAGACCGGAAAAATCCTCAAGAGTCAAAATAAAAATGACTCCGAATAATGTTTGAGCGGGCATAGTTCTTTTGTGTAAGTTATTTCACACCCCGGGTTGGTGAAAAGCTGGAAGTGTGTTCACTTTCAGCTCTGTTTTATCTGCACTTCCTCGCTCTGGTCGCCGTCCCTGCCCCTCTAATGAACAAAGTGTTGCTGGAAATTTGAAGTGTGAACTGGAAAGTGGAGAGTGGATGTGTAATACAAACTAATTCCTTTGCCTTTCGCATTGCGAAGCACCTACCACATGTCGGGGGCAGCAGTTGGCTGTGCTGCACCGCTGTACTGTCTCACGGACCGAGCTGGACTCCGACGGTGCTCGGACAGGTGCGGTGGATGACGTCAGCGCCGGCGGTGCGGCCCATTGGTCGTGGTTCGATGTCATCCCTCACACGCCCAGCGGCGACGAGTGTGCCGCCGAGCTGAGGATGCTGGCTGCCGGCGACAGGGTGTTCATCCACGACCGCCGCCAAATACTATGCGTCAACAGTGAGTGCCGTCCATAACAGACGCCGGCTCACAGGTTTTCGGTGTGTGGTGCTGAACGGCATGTGCCCATATGGTAGTTTCAGTGCTCTTTGATGTATGTGCCGACAGTCAGAAATGTTGATCGCGGCTGCTGGGCTACGTGTCCAATCTGATGGTTGTGGCGTTTGTTGGTGTTTGACCATGCTAGGGAAGCGGTGCTGGTTAACCGTCCATCGCTGTCCATCCATGCATCCACGTCCAGCTGCTGCCGGTTGGCCGCGATGCTGGTGCGTGTGCCCTGCCACTGGCGGCGTTGAACCCTGTGCGTGTGTCGTACAGTGGCGCCGGCGTCGGAGCTGAAGGACGCCGTCCAGCTGTTGCCGGTTGGCCGCGATGCTGGTGCGTGTGCCCTGCCACTGGCGGTGTTGAACCCTGTGCGTGTGTCGTACAGTGGCGCCGGCGTCGGAGCTGAAGGACGCCGTCCAGCTGTTGCCGGTTGGCCGCGATGCTGGTGCGTGTGCCCTGCCACTGACGGCGTTGGACCCTGTGCGTGTGTCGTACAGTGGCGCCGGCGTCGGAGCTGAAGGACGCCGTCCGGCTGTCGCCTCCCGGGGAGCGCATCATCGGCTGGGGCCTGGGCGCCGACGCGGCCCCGCTCGTGCTCACCAGCCACCCGGGCCTGCTCCGACTGACGGCTCGCACCGCACCCGGCGCCGACCACAGTCAGACGTGCGTCGCGCACTGACTACGCGTCACGTCACGTGGTGACGCCGCACTAGACGCGTCACGCGGTGACGCCGCGCTAGACGCGCCACACGCTTACCCCGCGCTAGACGGGCCACGCGCTCACCCTGTGCTAGACGAGCTACGCGCTCACCCTGCGCCAGACGCGTTACACGCTCAACCCGCGGTAGGTGGGCCACACGCTCACCCCGCGCTAAACGGGCCACACGCTCACCTCGTGCCAGACGCGCCACACGCGCCACACGCCCACCCTGCGCTAGACGGGCCGCACGCTCACCTCGTGCAAGACGCGTCGCACGCTCACCCCGCGCTAGACGCGTCATGCGCGCGACGCCAGCCGGTGTCGGTCAGGCGTACGCCACTGACGGCTTTCCGCAGCTGCCAGTTACGCAGGCGGCTGTTTTCGTGTAGCTAATAGGCGCCGCGGCAGCAGTATGCGCTGGACTTAAGCGGGGATCAACATTCTTCAATTGATGTCACATTCACCAGTCGGGTTTGTGTTGCCACTGCTTGCCGCAGTGTTATGTTAACTGATCGGAAATTTCGAGTTTGCATATTGATTTTATATAAATGCCATTAGAATGTGTAGCTTACTCTTTCGTTTTGGAGATGTGCTGTCACAATATGGACCACCATGCGTTTTCGTCGTAACTGCTCATACCGCACTGTCGCTTGACTTCAGGATGAATCTGTCGCTGCTGGGTCTGGATCAGACGGCGCCGCTGTCCCAGTCCTTCAACGTGTCCTTGACCCAGGTCGACCTGGAAGAGCTGCTGACATCCAGCTCGGATGTCAAAGCCAAACTGCGTGCTGCCTGCATTCTCTTCTGCAAAAACGATTTGGTGAGTGTTGCCGCAGAGCAGGTGAGCTTGC